ACAAGTTGGCTACTCTTGCTTCCTATCATTAAATGTACCACATACTATTACATTTCAAAAACTATTATATTAGTCAGATATTTCGAGTTCTATTTTTGAATAAAATATTTACTATTATACTTAGGACAGTGGTCTTAAATTAAGGGCCCGCGGGCCGGGTGCAATATTACAGGCGCGTGCATACACTTCAATCGTGTATTTTTTGTCCGTATTTACAACAAGATCGTGAGTTCATTCAATTTGTAACTAGAGTTTGAGACCACTAACTTAGGAGACAACCTCATTTAAAAAAAAAAAATATTTTTATTATTAACATTTTTAGAAGCAGCATTTTTTTTTAATAATATTGCTAATGTCAATAACTTGTATCCAAACTACATAAAGTTTCTAATGAAATATAAATATTATAAGAACAATTTTATTTTACATATGTTTAGTATAAATCTAAATATGTGTATGTTATTTTGATTATGTAACATTATAATGATAATACAACATTAAATTATGAGAAATAATCGGGATATAGCATTTATAAATATATATTCTGGATATCGCCTGATAAATAGAATTCATAGCCCGGCGTAACCACCATGCAACGCAAATAATAGATTGACCTCAATAGCATTTGTCCAACTATAGAATTATTCATTCAATACAGGAACAAGTCAATTATTCAACATTTCATTAACATTTAATTATGTACATTGTATGGAAACCATTGTTCGCTGGATACAAGAGTTAAGTTACTTCGATATTCCGAACGTTTGTTCAGAGGAATACAATTAATATGCTGCACTAAATTTTCTAAAAAAATAAATTAATGATTTGCAACATTATCCAATTCACGAAATTTTAAATCGAATAAATTGTTATTTGCGGGCTTAAAAGCTTTGTTTATAATTGATCAAGAAAAGGGCGACTAACAGCTGAAAGGTTAAGTCGCCCTACCCACGAGTTAGTGGGCGCAGGTTGAAATCCTGGTCAAACCAGGCCTTTGTGAACCCTCTCGGTGCTTGCGATCGTTCATCACAGATGGACAGTGAAATGAATTAGGTTTCTGCATATGGACCATCGGCCAAGTCGATGGACAATGACAGTGTTAAGGATACAAGTAGATTCACAGTGAAAGAAAATCGCAGAGCATCAATATACTACTAAAGTTAACCTACAAGACAACAGTCAACCTAAAATAAAAAATCATCATAATGGTGACTATTAACCGGGAAAGATTATTAAATTTACTCAATGTAAACATTGATGAACAGATTGTGAATAAAATTACAAGACATACAAAAAATAACTATAATAAAAATTATATAAATTACAGTGGAAACTCGCTTAACGAGCAAAATGAATTGTAAGAAAAATGACTTGCTTAACAAGGGACGTTTCGCATAACGAGTGACGATGAGAAGAGAAGTCCCGGATTGCGCATCATTTTTAAAACTTGTGTACACTTGTGTACATGTTATGTGTATTTTTTATTATACGAGTTTCACTATACGAGTAAAAATCCGGAAATTTTGGAACCGATTAAACTCGTTAAGCGACGTTCCACTGTATTAGACACGTCATAAATAATTTCATAGTCGGCCACTAAATTCCAATAGTCTAAGGTAAAATATTATTGATTTCGTCGATTTAATTAATGAATAATATACACAGATATTTCATAATAAAAATATTTTTAGGGCAGAATAGCCCTTTGAAGTAGTTGACTTTTTTTTATTTATGATATTTATATTATTATATTGAGTTTTTTGTTGTGTAATTTTTTGTTTCAATAAATATTATTAATATTTTTTATCACTACTCTCCTATTTCTATCACTTTTCCTATGCTTGTCGACCACTAAACAGATTTTTAAAGTTGGTGAGATTAGAATCTGTCACTTTCCCAGATTGATCTGGCATTGATTGATATAGACCAGCGGTCGCCAACCTTTTTAAATTCACTGACCACTATACTGAAAATATTAATTTCAGCGGATTTGTATAAAAATCATGTTATTTTTTTTTCGTAAAAAAAAGATTTTAAATAAAAAAAATTACACTTGTTTTTACATTGAGCCTTTTATAAACATATATAATAAAAACAAAAATTACAAATATATAGAATTATTTTTATTATAAATATAAATTTTATAAATTGAATTAAAAGTACTACGAGTAACATTCATCATATTTCACGAATGTAAAGCAACTTTCTACACTGAATGGTAATTGGATAGAATCGTAGCTTTTTCCAACTCGGGATAAATAGAAAGAATCTCCGAATAAACAATTTGTTAAAATAAAAACACACCATACACACTAGACTTGAAAGGATATTTAAAATAAAAAAAGTTTTGAAATATATGTAAATAATTATTCATTTATACACTATAATACATTGTTTAGTTTTTAGAAAAGTTAATAAAATGATTATCAAATTTAAACGAAAAGAGAAATTTCAAAATAATATAACAATCTCGGACTATTTGAGACTAGACTAATCGAGGACTGTATAAAAGGTTAAAAGCTAAATAATTTAAAAGAAAAAAATGTGTACTTTTTAGAATTAAATTTGAATTTAGTTTGTTTTAAAATTTTAAAATCGGAAGTCGGACTATGCGAGGTGTTACATAACCTTTTTAAAAATATTATATATCATTTAATATTTTGTTTATAAAATCTTATACGATCATAAAATACTTTATCATATGACTTGATTAGTTTTATAAAATAAAGTGAGTTTTGATCTTGTACATTCAGCTGTGTTTTTGGTGAATGTAAAATTGTACAATTGTATTAACCGATGTTAAATGGAACGCGTGCGCCGAGCACGATGGACGACTTGGAAAATCGGAAAAACATTAAACCCAAGTAATTACAACTCTCATGGAATAGAGCACTAGAGTAGATAGAACAGTGCCACTAAAGCAATTGATTTCCATTCGATTAGTTGTACGAAACGGAAAAGCTTTTTCGTCGTCGTTTGGCACGTCGATACTAAATCCGAAGGAATTTATGTATGCATGAATGTATTTGGTCGAATATAATTCATCTGGCTATGAGACAGCTTTGGCAGAGATCGAAACGAAACGGTATTTCAGGATTTCTTAATCCCTCATTAAAATTGCGCGCAGTAAAGGCAACAACGAGAAGAGGGAAAGAAAATAAATAAATACATAAATGAAACACATACAGAAAAACGCACAGTTCGGAGGCGTCGCGTAATAAATATGTAAAATGAAATAATCTGTAAAATGTAAATAGAAATTTGTACGGTTTTGAATAATTTATGAGGGGCGGGGAAATACGTACGTACATAGTTGGCCGTCATAAAAAAGGACTCACCCTCTGCAGATCCGATGTGATTGTATGCATGTATGCACGGTGTGTACGAATGTTTGTGTATGTGTGTCGCAACGTCCATGGTTGCGATAGCAGATTTTTTTTATTATCAGATTAAATCTACCCTTATTGTATTGATTCCCATTTAGTTCCATTTTTTTCTTTCTTCATCTAGAATTATTGTCAGAACTTGAATGTTTAAACACAAATACTTATTTAATTATTTAAGAATAAATATAAATAAACATATTGATCATAACTTAAATATTCATGTATTGATCAATATCAAGTTTTAACAATATATTATACGTATATTGTATATTTTAGGTATACATGAAATTTTTAACAGAATTTTTGAAAGAATATTTTCATTTTTCATTTAAGTACTAAATTTCATATTTTCAGTTGTTTAATGTTTTCGAAACTGTAATATTTTATTTGGTGATATTTTTTCTTATTATTGAAATATGGAAAATACATAAATTTTACTACTTTATAGTTTTCATGGGTTTTTCGATTACATATGGTTTTTGTTAATAATCTATTTAAAAGAGAAAAATAAATCAAATCAACAATGTGAAATCTGAAATGTATTATAGCAATATAATGTTTGTTGTACCAATAACATTGGGATGTAGGTAAACAAAACGATAAAGTTAATTATAAGTATATAACGAATTTAAGAACAGTTAAATCACATTGAATATAGATCCGGAAGATAAACTTGGAGATAGAGCATTGATCCAATTTTTTCGAGGCTACATTTTTTTTGTAATATATAATATCACTTAATTTCCGGCGCAGCCAAGTGTTTGTTTGTCCAGAGGAGAGAGTAGCAATCGCCACCTAGGCTTACATCAAAGTGATATAAATATAGCGTAAGTAAATACGCTTATTAAATATATTATCGATTGCGTCTCTGTTTAGTTTAGTATATACAACCAATAACAATAAGTGCGTTAGAGAGAAATACAAATTCGGTGAATATATTTTTGTGAAGTACATGTACTGACAATTCTTTTATTTTTGTTTGTATTGTTTTCTAACTCCCTTGAGTGTGTATAACTATGTGTGGCGGATCGATAAGCGGGAGAAACTTTGTAAGACTTATTATGCGTACAATCTGACCTAATCCTTAAGAAAACTTGAAATCGCAATAATCGATCTCTGTACACCCTTCGAGTTGGAAAACTGCAAATATTGTTATTGTTGTGATGGAATGATGTATCGTGCATACGCGACGTTTGTAACATGAATTGAATAATTTATATTTTATAAAATGGTCGTTATTTTTAGAACAAAAACTAGTTAATTTATTGACTTTTTCTTCTTGCTGTGCCGACGTTTTTAAGCAATAAATTTATTTTTCAGGTGTTTTCTTTTTGTAGCTTTGGCTGGTTCTTGCTGGCAAGTAGAGAGGACGACCAAAGGAATCGATTCTTTTGGTGCATTGGTAAATTAAATTTCGGGTACGCTGCGGATCGAACAATTCCGACCGAAAGAGGTGGTCTTCGGCAGTTTGGTAGGTAAGTGTCCGCAAAGAAGTCCCGTGTATTTTGAATGTCTATTGGATTTCGCAACGGGATTGCACATTAGCTATGTATTATTTATAGTGCGCTCAGTTCAGGACAATCGCCTCTCGCTCTGTCGCTCCTCGCCTCTTACCTTGTCTGCACTACCGGTCGTGAGGCGGCTTTTAAGTTCTTCCATAAAACTAAACTTTTTTCTCCGCCTTTGGTTCCTCCTCGTCCTCCTTCTGTTCGCGACCTTTTTATAATTTGTTTCTGCTCTTATTTGTGTACCTGCTATTTGATCATCAAATGCGGTTTCGGGCGAGCTTTTTGTTTATGTCGAGGACCGTATGACGGAGTGCGACACCGCGACACAGATCATAAAGTTAGAACACTTCGGGCTATGTTCCCCGAAAAAGCACGGCCAGAACTAGGAACAACTAGGAAGAACCGCAAACGCGGACCGCGCGTTATCCCTGGCGCGGGCGCCGTGCGCTCTCCATTCCCTTCTCTCTTCGACACATTCAATAGTTTCATGCGGACGCAGCACTCGCACACACATACATTTCGGTCGTCTCCCTAATATAGAACCAAAATTCGAGTGGAAAATTAGGCAGGAAGGGTCGTAGAAAATATGAATAAATTTCTAGTATTTCACTTCTAAACCTTTCTTTACATATGTCACTCCTTTTGGAATTACCGAAACTGATTCCAATTAGTTACGTCCCAGAAACTATTGAATTTGATGAATTGATGAAAGTTCAGTTTATTTTATTCAATATACTGAGATTCAATATTCTAGTATATTATACAATTCGCAATATGCAATAATCACTTTGATAGATTTAAGAAAATAATTGTAAAAAATGACGACCACTGTCCAGTGATTATTTTTTAATCAAGAAATTAACATAACAAATTGAAAGTGGTTCAAATGATAAACATGTGAAAGTTAACATAAGAAATAAAATCAATAGTATTAAAATAGTTACTACAAGCAATAACGTCGTTATTATAATTCCTCAATTTGTAGGTATTAAAATAATCTACCAATTTCTTGTCCCATTTACAATTAGAAAGGATTTCATCTCAGCATCAAAATAATTTGACCTTCCAACAAATTGACGTATCTAAGAATAAATAGAAACGTATTATTGAAATCCAAATACTATTTAAAATATATAATTGGACAACAAACATACATTCAAGAAACGTTTCATAAAAAAAATAATAATATTATAAAAATCCATGTTTTATGACTACAATGGAACACGAGATCGTAAATAAATAGAAATAACCGATAAAACAATCTATAAATATATAAATACCTCGCATAGTGCGGTTTGAAAATTTCAAAACAAACAAATTAAATTTTAAATGATAAAATAATGTTAAATTTTGACAAAAATATTATACAAAATTATTTTGTGACACAAAGATATTTTTTATACAGTTAAGTCTCTGTTTGAAAGGTTTATTTTTGGGTCTATAAATCTCGACAATCAAAATCCCGACATTCGAAATCCGAACAACCATAAAAAACCCGAAAATATCAAAATCCCGACAACGGTCTTTCCGCCCGGGAATTTATTTTTTATTTTATATTATATTTTTTGGCCAATAAATTATTATTATAAGTATTAGAATAATAACAATTTTTAAAAAAATAATAATGAGTTTGTTAAAAATATGTTTTGAGTATAAAATCTAATTGTATTTTAGATTAATTCTTATTGATTTATTATTAATAAGTCTATATCATATATAGACTATAATAAAAGATACTGTCGGTATTATTGTTGTCGGAATTTCGATTGAAGCCGTTAATTTTTATAAGTATTTGGTTCCTCGATTAGTCTGGTTTTAAAGAGTAAGGATATTGGTCGAACGGATTGCCCGGACAATGCGAGGTATTGCTGTAATATTAGAAATAATATACACAAATAATTATCTATATATTTATTAAGATTAAATAATTAATCATTTTTAATGAATATTAAAATGAACAATTATTAGTTTAAAAAGTAATTATATTTTCTCCACTCCACTCAGAATATTGAGATTCAAAGGATTTTGGGATAAAATTTGAATATATCACATATCATTTCAATTCTCCAATAAATAAAGATTGTTAGGTATATCAAAGTACAAACAAGAGTGGTATATTATAGCATCTCGATCCCTTTCAGATATCTGAGCTACTCTCGTTCGCAGAACATACTTCAGGTAGCGTTCATATTTGAGTTGCGTTTAACATGGTTATTCTGGCAAACGCATGTCGTTTTATTAACATACACATCGAGTGCTTTATGAACTAATTAATGAAAAGGTTTTATCATTTGCATAGAAAATAAAGGTGAATAATTATAGCGATAAAAAAAATTCTCTTTTCAAAATCATTGTTATTACACGATTATTACGCATATTTATATTCTAATTCAATTATTTTTTTAAGTTAAGTGTTGAAAAAAAGCACAAACATACTAAAATTTAATTAGTTAGTCTCCACTTTTGCTTAATTATAAAATATTTTATTGAAATTTCTGCTGTAGTGAATCCACTTTAATCATATTTGTAACAAATAACTGATAAAAAAAACAATTGACAACTATATAAATTGTCAATGTTACTAATTGAATAGCGAAATCGAGTGGCGTGTATTGGATTCATTCATTCGCATGGTCATACCGATTCACTGCATATAAAATAACAATTGAGAATACATAAATAAAAGGCAGCCGTGGCATGGAGCAGCGCTTAATTAGTGAATGGATTTTGAATGCTCCCACAAATTGGAACCGTTCATCGGAATTGTTCTTAATTATCTGTCATGCAACTCCAATTTATTGTCTATTCTCAGATATATATTTTTTTTATTCTACTCTTAATTCTTGTTTCAATTGATTCGCCGATATCGTACGTTTCATTAGATAATTTAACAGTTTGCATTTTCTTGTAGATGTACGAGAAAATGAAAGAAACCATAATTGAAGGAAGCACAGCGCATACTAAGAGTATATTTAAAAGAAGGTTTATCGATTTTGTTTTCTTTAGAAATCTTATTACAAATATGTAAATCCAATAATAAGAATCGCGTGAATTGGAAGTGTTTTTTTTTCTAAAATGTGATTTTGTAAAACAAATAATACAAAAATATTATATTGTATTTTTTATCTGAACTTGGAAAATATTTTTTTTTAATTTTAATAATTACTATAATTATTTAATCTAATTGATTATTCAATAGTAATTTTAGAATTAATTAAGAAATGAAGTTTACACTGTTTCCTTAAAACAGTCAATTTTATTCCATAAAACAGCATACTAGAAACCTTGCATTCCAATAATATTATTTTAATGATTAATTTTAATGTGTTTTAAGATTTACAAGTTCTTTCATCTCTTATTTATTGCTGATGTAGTCTCCGTTTAATATATTTGAAATGTAAGAAGCATCGCTATATGTCGATTATTGAAGCTATCGATTTGTTTTTGTATGAAATAGCGTTTAGTCTGGTAGAAACGTTTGATATTATTTCAAAACGTTTTTATTTTGGCTCTACGGCGCATCAAGCACGAAATGTATAAAGTGTTTGCAATATGCTGTCACGCATATAAATCTGTTACGACTAGTTGGCTATTTTTCGAAGTATCACGTATGTTGTAAGTGAGCAAGTACGTCTCTCCTATTTGCTCGCAGTGTCGTCACCAAAAATCGCGTAGTAACTATGACATTTCGTATCCAACTACACGAAAATAAACATGCAGACAACAACAACAATACAATGCACAACCGTTACGTTTGCTTACGATTTATCTGCGCCATGTGCAGAGTCCTACAAATCTGGGCTTGCCAAAACCAAATTGCATTCGCGCTGAACTTGATCCTCATTTTTGTGCGTTGCTTTTCGTTTTCAAATGTCTGAAATCAATTTTTAATCAACAGTTAAAAAAGTCCTTGAACATATTAAAGGAAATTGAAGTTAATCATGTTGTTTTCGTTGGTTGCCGGTCGCCAGGAATTATTATATAGAGATGATTGAGATATTACATAATTGGAGCAAGTCCACTTTCCTAGTGGAAATGATGTAGGTTTTTGGTATCTGCAAAAGTGTGATTCAATGAAACGTCCATGAAAAGTGCACAATAACCGTTTATTTATTTATTTATTACATAATAGCGAATATATTTGTGACTCTATAATATTGAATCTAAATAACGGTGACTTTCTCGTTGATGAAGTCTATTGTCGGTTCCGATTTCATTAAAGACAAGTGATCGCCGTTGCTGATGAATATCTGCGGTTCCTGGACGAAGTGCTTCATATGAAAAAAATAAAATAAGAGATTTAGTAATTATATGATATGAGAAGGGAGGAGTTTACGTTTTCGAGACCACATTTATCGAATTTACTGGAGGCTGCGGGTCGCACGAAGTAGATGTCTCCTTTGAGCGGCTCATTAGACGGTTGATAGTCTATTAGAGCGTTCAAATTATCCTTTAACAGTCCCAGAGATATTTTTAGAATCTTCTTGTCGTCCTCTGAACCCTTGTAAAGCTTGAGCGCCGCATCCACGCGGGCGTTCCAGTTCTGCACGGCTCCTAAGCTCTTCAGCACCTACAATTGCATTGGATAAATTATATTATGCAATGGGAATTGAGAGTACATACCTCAGCATCATTTATACTCAATATGCGGTTTAATAAGTTTACTTCGTTACTTGAATCTTTGCCAAGGTATTTGATGGCTGCCTGAATAGTTTCAGGTGCGGCGTCCATTAAGGTCACCTGCGTGTTTGCCGTTTTCTGTAAGATCCTTGATATTTCTAGAGCTAAAGCTCCACCCCACGAAATACCGATGATGTTGTATGGACCTTTCGGGAACAACTTATGAATTTTCTGCAACAATTTGTTAATAATAATCATTGTGATAGATTTAATTTATTTTTCGGGCTTACATCGGCAAAGATAGTGGCGGCTGTTTTAATGGGCATGAACGTGTTCGGTAATTGCGTGCAGAACGTGGGGTAGAGCAGATTTCTGGCGAATTCCTTAACGGTCTCGTGACCTGAAAGGCCCGGAACCAAGATGACGGGTGGAAGTTCGCGAATTCTTCTCGGTCCCGCCGATGGCAGCTGAACCAATTCCGGTTCTCCGCTCATGTAATACGACCGTTTTACCAGTTCGTCGCTCGAGAGCGGCAGTAACAGCATCAATTCTTCAATTCAAAACATTTGTTTAGTATGCAAATTACATTATGTTTTTTGTAAGTCTTACTTTTGTACAGGGCTTGCGGTGTTTCCTGATCGATCTCGCTAACCTTGTCATTCTTCACAAAGATGTTGTTCGCCTTGAAGCTGAGGACATCATCGAGCGCGTATAAACCGTCAATAAATTCAAGACCAGAATCCCACTGGATATTGAAAGTGGCAAAACCGGAGTCGGAGCGGATCTGACAGATACCCGCAGAGGAAAACCAAAAGTTAACGAACAATGCCTTCGGAGCTGTCGTTCTCAATGCCAATTCGATGTATTGCACTGATTTTATATCACTAACTCTAGTAACGCTTGTTTTATTTGGAAGGATGAACACTCCTTGTATGGGACCTAATCGATACAATTCTGTGAGCAGTTCCATTGCATTATCCTTGGTCTGAGGACGATTCTGTGTGAAAATAATTTCCACTTTGAAGTGCTTCTTCAGCAGCGATAGTCTGTGTTTAATTGAAAGTTGCTGAGGTTTAGCGTCGGAAGCTACCACAACATTTCTGGCTCCTCTCAACACCAGCCACTCCACCAAGTCGATCCATGCTTCCGCAGTGCCTCCATACACTAGATGCGATCCTTTGTTATTGCAGATAAATTGATTTGGTTTGTTTGCGTTCAACTGGTTCAAGCTTATGTCTTTGCTCAACTTGATCAACACCTTTCCTATGTGATTGGACTGTTGAAGACTGGTTAGAATGCTTCCGATGGCCTGGTGCTCTACTACTTTTCGGTGCAAGGGCCTCACCACGTATTTATCGATACCCTCCTGAACTAAGGCCTTCAATTCCTTCTTGTCATCTGCACAACCATCAAACACATTCTCTGGAATCACGCCAATTAGGCAAGTGTTCCTAAGGAATACGCTCATCCCGATGGTATTATCCTGCTTGTTATCTAGTTTTCCCAGCTGAACAAATCTACCGTAATCACCTAAACAGCGAATGGATGCATTCAAGAGCGATCCTACTTGGCAATTAATGATAACATCGACACCACTCCCTCCAGTTGCCGCAAGAAGGCAGGGTTCAAAACTAGTATTTTCCGAACTCAAAATCTGACGGTCTTTCAACTGTAATTGAAATAATTAATAACTTTAAAACGTAAAACATTATAAAATTAATAAAATATGTCTGCTTGAGAAATAATACTTCAAGGAAAGAAAACATCAACTTACGCAAGAGAATTGTTTCTTTAGGAAAGCTTTCTGCCAGTCTGTGGCAACGGTGGTATAAACTGTACATCCTCGCATCGAAGCTACCGATATAGCTGCTAATCCAATTGCTGAACATCCTGCATGTATGAGCACGGATTCTCCAGGTTCCATCCTTGCTTTTTGTATTAAGCAGTAATAAGCCTGAGTAATCAAATGCAATGTTAATTAATATAACGCCATAAAAATATCAGATTAAACCTTACAATTGCATATGCATGAGGTACGGTACACGCGTCCTCCATACTCCAAGAATCTGGAATTGTCCAACTGAGATCATCGTCCGGTATCAAATTATAAGTATCTTTATCCAGCCTGGCCAGACCCATGATTCTCTTATTATTGTTTGTTGTTGCTGAGTAATCTATGTTACCCAATCCAGCAATAGTTGAATGTAACGTCTCGTCGTTACTGTTAATTCCCAGGTACACCAAATTGCCGCTGCCTATCGTAACATTGCTGCAACAAACCAAATAGTCTTTTATCACATCAATTCATTTTCTTACCGTTGAGAAGCCTTGAAATACAAACTTGAATATTTCAATTAGAGAACTACATTTCTTAACAAATACTTATTTACCTGGTTACTTGTAAATCGCTTTCCGTCGACCCCTTGAAATCAATGCAAGTCGCAAGGTAAGTGCCAATAGTGCCGTCCTTGACCACCGTTAACACATTATCGTTTCTGAAGAGCCTCGTGTAAAATTCCTCACTGAAATTTGGAGCGCTTTTATCTAAGACGAATAGGAATCTTAGATTCACAAATTCGTTTATTGATCGAATATTGTGGACAAAGTTCGTTATTCCTTCCGTCGGCATTACACTTGATACCAAGCATAATTTGTCGTTAACATTGATGTTCCCTAATTTATTCTTCAAGTCATTAACCCATGGCAGTGAATCCTTGTTGAGGTCTTTGTCTGTTAAAGTGTCCGCTTTGACGAAAATAAGCACCGGTTTGCTGGTTTCGACTTTTCTTAGCAAACTGTACTTAACACCTTTGATGTCGAATTGAATCATAGTTATGATATTCGGATTGGAGTCGATTAACTTTCCAGTTCTAGCCAGAACATAAACACTGTGACCAATTGGCTTCAGGATATCAGCAATTATCTCGTTATTGCTCACTATCAAGACAGGATCACTTTGCGAAACTATTGTTATATTCGGATCAGTCACTGATGATAAGTTTGCCTATTAAGGATTAAAACAATTATTTAATTTTAACAGATTGTTGAAATTTACTTGTATTTGAATATTTTTCTCCAAGAACATTTTGATATTTGGCAACAAAGGTTCATTCTTCCCTGCGACTTCAATTATATCAATATTCTTGCAAAGTGGATCGATAAAGTTGTCCATTATTAAATTAATGCTGTAGCTAAGGATGTTTTCCATGTTTTCACAGACACACTTTCCAAGAGACACAAAGTCGATGGAATCATAGGAAGTTTGTTTACTGGTTAATGATAGTGGACTTGTCACTAAACCAGACATCTGTAAGCCAGGCATAGTTGATATTCCCGTTGAGAAATCAGTGCTAATTTCAACATCTAATAACAAAAGGTTTTTAAAATATATTATAATTAATGTATTTCCGTTATAGATTACCTGCTTGTTCCTTAGGAATATTTGGAATAGAGATATTAATGCGTTGGATGGTAGTAGGTACTACTACGTTTTGATTCCTTTCTCCTTCCTTGAAGAGATTTTGTTGTAGCATTCCTTCTAAATATATTTGCCAAGATTTACTGCCGGGCATTAAAGCCAAAGATCCTGAAAAATATAATTTAGTAATAATATTTATTAGTACTTTACGAATTACCATTGTCTGTGATGGACAACTTTTTGATTTCTTTGTAATTGCCAGAGTATTTGTAACCTCTATGGCCAAATTCGTTATAAATATCGGATGTGCTTAACTGCAGTCCTCCTTCGACGTTTCCTATGTCGTAAGTGTGAAGCATTATCTTGTCGGTGGGTTGGGGAATCGTAATCTTTCCTGTGGCCACGATTTCATCTTGAGAAAGTACTTCAAATTCGCCGCTTCCTTTTTGAATCATAGCGTAGAAAGGCAAATTTCCTACTTTTGGGATAACAAGTACGTTTCTAAATCGCACGTTCTCGAATATCGCTTCAGTTATTTCCGTGGACCGGCTTGTACTCAAGATTCTGAGGAGTATGTCCTAAAGATAAAATAATAATTGATTCGTATTGAAATAATATTATGTTCAATTTACTATTATAGATGATAATGGAAGAATTATTCTCTCATCAAGTTGATGGGAAGCACAGTCGCGGAATTCATCGCTGTTCAAAGATATATGCAAGTCCTTTACGCTGACCAAGTAGTTTAGTTTATCTTCCAGTCCAGTTCTCCAAGTCTCTCCATGTTCCCAGTGCACCAATGGAGCGAGTCCGCACGTGCCCTTGCTTACCGGATAATCGATGCTAGGGAATATTTTAGCGACGTTTACGTCTATTCCAGCTAAATACATTCTAGAATATAAATAGAAAATTGCATCAATTTGATTATTATGAAAATATGTAAGAGTAATTAATTACTTTCCGATCGCGCCCAACAAAAACTGGATACCGTTTTTGGAGCCCCTCTGTGTTAATGGAATGTTCGTGCACCCGGGTTTCACAGATCGTTTGAGAATAGCTTGCAGTAAGCCATGAGGTGCTATTTCAATTAAGATTGAATCTTTAGGAATATGTTTAGAACCCTCTTCAAATAGCACCGAACTCAAAAGGTTATTAGTATGATATTCTGCGGAGGAAGTTTTTGCCACTTCGGTGTCCCATTTATCTTCAGCATTTGATGTGCTGATCCACTTTGAAGATCTAGCAATTGGCACCGGAATAATTTCCTTCAAGTATTTAAGAAGGTACGGAGCAGCTGGTTTAATGTATTTACTATGATATGCGATGTTAGCAACGTTCACAAGCCTAGCAAATATTCCTTTGTCCTGCAACTCTTTCACGAACTTCTCCATGTCTTCTCGCGGTCCAGAAATGGTAGAAGAGTCAGCGCTGTTGTGACACGCCACCTCTATAGATGGTGGGCACATAGATTTTATTTGCTGATAACCAAGACCTATACAAAACAAGAACAAACATATTTATTTTTCTCTAGGTAGATTTGTTAATTTACTTACCAATTGCTGCCATCATTCCTGGTATTAGTTCCACGTCTTGAGAAGCTTTACCTCTGGAATAGGCGCATAGTATCATCTGCTTGGAGGTCATGCAGCCATCAGCATAGCCACAGCCCAGCTCGCCCACGGAATGCCCAATTATTCCATCGGGTGTAATACCCAGAGCTTTCAGTAAGTCGGTAAGTGCGATTTGAATCGCCGCAATGCCAACGAAGCTGTTCAAAATGTTATCGAACATCTGGGGATCTTTGCTAGTGACAATATCCAAAAGATCAATTCCGAATGGTTTCAAAGTTTCGTGAGATTCCATTATAGATTTAGCGAAAAGAGGCAATTGCATTAAATCTGAAGCCATTCCGTTCCATTGACTTCCCATTCCCGAGAAGACGAACCAGGTCTGCCTTTTATTCCCCGGAAAATATTCGAATTCTCTTTTAACTTCTCCTTCGGTATCCAATACAGAATAACCACGGTACAGATGTCCTGGAATGGCCTTCGAAAATAGCTCTTGCGTAAGCCCGATGTACTCCTGATCCATTTCGGGTTGGTCTTTAACCTATATCAAACAATACAATTCAAATTAAAATTACATTCTGATGCAATTATATTAATTTACCGTATCCAAAATCTTCTGAATACCATCTTCAGTTCTTGTCGAAGCCACGATCAAATTTGGTAAGCCGTTGTTTGTCTTGCGTTTGATCTTTGGGTTGGATTTGAGTAAGCAATGAGCGTAGGAGGAGGATAACCCGATGCCGTTCACCGCTGCATAAACGCCATTCCAATCCTTGTTCTTCGTGACTACTTCGATGCGACCATCAACAAGTGCCGGAATATTCGGATTTGGTTTGGAATATTGCAAGGTGGCAGGAATTTTTCCAGTCTCCATTGCTACGAGTACTTTCGCGATGCTGATCAGGTTGGCCGAGGCCTCGCTGTGTCCCGAATTCGTTTTAACCGAACCGACCATGAGAGGCTTATTTCTGTTCTTGCAGTAGACCTCGTCAATAGCGTTCAATTCAGCTTCGTCCGTTGACTAAGTAATATAAATAATAAATATCGCATATTCAATTTTTCGAATGTTTAAATTGCTAGACCTTTATGCCGCATCCGTAGCACTCGACCAGATCCACATCTTTAGGATCAATTTTGCAGTTGCTGTAGAATTCCTGCATGAATGAGACCATGCTTGGTCTGTCGACTTCCATCAAAGTGCCCTCCCTGTGGCCGTTGAACTGCGTAGCGGTGCCGACGATCGTCGCGTACGCCCTTTTGGCATCCTCCGCCCGCTGGATGTACATGACGATGATACCATCGCTGCGCGCGTATCCGCTCGCTTAAGTGAAAACATAATTAGAAATAAATATGATTATAATTTCCATTCAATGTGTTTGTGACCTATGCAAAATAGGAGGTGCTTGCTAGCAGCATTCAATGCAAATGTAACGAAACACTAACCATCAGCGTCAAAGGCCTTTGTTGAACCATCGGACGACAATAGGCCCATGTCGTTATACAGCCAGGACAATTCCGAATTAAGGGCTAAATTGGCCGTCCCAATTATGGCAGCTTCGCAGTGGCCCTCCCTCACAGCATCGAAAGCAATTTGGAGCACCTCTATGCCATTGATCCAGTTGCTGTCATATGCACAACTTGGACCTAACACATAATACCATTTTATTAAGTTAATTAACATAATATATTAAGTTATCGCATTTTTTTTGATGTTTTTTGTTCAGAGAAACAAAGAAGATTTAATATCGTTCGTAAGGATACATTAGTTTGGTCAACTAACACTTTTGTTCAACTTATAAGTAAGTAGCTAAACATAAAACATTTTTACCTTTCAAATTGAGCCAGTATGAGATACGATTGGGCATCATAGCACGTGAATGGCCAGTGACTCCAAACCCACTAATAATAGACTCAAAGAAGAGATTGTCGTTCTCTCCGATGGATGAACCCATGAAACACCCAATCCTCTTCCCCCTGATATCCTGAGGATTCACTCCGGCGTCGACGAGTGCTTCGAAGGTCCTTTCCAGCATGAGACGCTGCATCGGATCCATGAATGTCGCCTGCTGCCTGTGTATTCCGAAGAAGGCCGTATCGAAAAACTCAATAGATGGGCATTTTCCGATTTTATTTGTAACCCCCCTTTCGCCTTCAATGCAACTCAGTTATAATATTCGACTAAATGTATTTAATTTTATATAAAAATACCTTCTTTCCATCTAGTCTCGAGCAAGGACTCGTTGGAGAGCAAAGCCTCCTTGAGCATCTCAAAGTTCTCCGCCTTCGGGAAGAAACCCCCGATTCCGGAGATGACAACTTCGGTTTGGTTCGGTTGCGAAGACATTTTTTCTTCTTTTGAGTTTATTGCGAACCGTACCGGTCTTATATAGTTAATTGCGAAATGCTCATGCATTTTATATCGCATGTATATATTCAAAAATATCGAATGTCAATAACAGGAACAATGGATTTAAATTTTTATTGTCTGCATTATTGTTTCAAAATATACAATTGACATTCTCGTTATTTCCACTTATTTTTAAAAGAAAATTTAAATATTTAAAATTCCTGAATTTAAAAAAAACAAACGCAAATGTTATTGGTAAAACACAATTATGAATCTAAATTTCGCTAAAAAAATAACTGAAACATTGTAAATTTTATTTGTTCAATTTGGATTAATCATTCATTAGAATATTAATAGTTCAAAGGTGGATTTAAACTTAGGAGCGCATTGTATAAAATGTATAAATAGTTCTACTGAAAAATGCAGTTTAAATTTATATTCATTTGCATTTAAAATCACGAAAAAATATCTAGTCAAAAATAGTAATGTGTGGCGAAGAAATAATTTTGAATATGCAAATAATATTGGAATTAAGAAAAAAAAATGTTTGTCAGTGTTTATTTACAATCTATTCTACTGAACATTTATCAAATCTGTTCGCTGTTGACATTAGGAAGTTGTCACGCTATTGTCGAGAGGGTTAACCGCCAACGGGTTCGAATGCGAATCAAGCCTATTCGTATATTTTTTGGAGAAATCTTTGGCAACTTCCTTCACTGTTTATATTCCAATGTCCTGGTGCAGTCTCTTATTAGTGATGTAAAATGGTGCACCCAAGATTCTTCTAATACATTTAGATTAAAATCCCAATAATTCTTAATAACAATAAATAATATTAATTAGTATTGCTTTTTTTTTTCGTTGTCTTATTCATTATAAAACTTAAGAATACGAAATATTCTATAATAAAATTAGTTTATGTTATTGACAATAAATAACAACAATTAATAATCTTATTAAGTTTTAGATTGTCGGAATTTCGATATAGTCGGGATTTGGATTGTCGGGATTTTGACATAGTCGGGATTTCGATGTAGTCGGGATTTTGATACATTCGGGATTTCAATGCAATCGGGATTTCAAACGTCGGGATTTCGGTTGTCGGGCTTGCAATTGCCATCGATATAAAATTGGTCCCAAGACACTACCTTGAGTTTAAGACTCAGCCCAGTTTGTGCTTCCTCCAATTTGTTAAAAAACTTTCGATCATTTAGGTGGGATTTCAATACTTCATAGAAATTATGTGGAAGTTGCATTTCAGCTTGTAGAGTAAACCTGTATGCCCAACTTTGCCTATGACAAATCAAGGAATACAGCTGAACAGTATCTTTAGGATGTAGGTTCCATTGCTATTATCTTTTATGGCTTTTCCAAAAAATATAGCAGTTGGCTACCGAGACCAGTCCATTTGATCGGTTGAAAACTTGTCAATACTTATTATTTTTTAATTAAATAATCGATACAAAATAAACATAATGAGTTTAGAAACAAATAGTCTGAATTATACAGGTAGCTGATATAAAATAAAGATGCACAACAGGTATTTATACTGTTATTACATCTTATATTTGGATGATACAGCAAAGTCTTATAAATCCAGATGAGATTGCATTTGATGTTATAAGTGGTAATTTGAAAAAGAAATGTATTAATGTCAAGAAAGTTAAAAATATAAATAACAGACACATATTTTGACAAATGATACAATAGGATATTTGTATTTAGTACAAAGTGATGTGGAAAACCAACGCATCGAAACAGCTGCGGATAGTTTCGAATGAAATAAAAGAAGGTTTGAGAAAAATATAAGTTCGTCATATTTTTAAGAAGTCTTAGATTATATACAATATGCTAAACGACATATTATAAAAGTCGAAATAAAGACTATATTTTCTGATCATGGACATCAGAAAAATTGTAGTCTCATTGACATTCATCACATACATCAACAAATATAATTTGAGATTCCAACTTAAGAAAAAAATACGAAGAACTAATTAAAACAAAACCACGAAAATCTGTTTAAAATGTAAAAAAAACATATGTGCGTCAAATGTACATATTTTAAAAATCATGTTCGTGTATGTTTATTTTTATGTTCATAATATGACAACAATATGACATATATTTTTTTAAGCAGACACCGAATTATATAAATTTATAATTAGAATATCCTAATTATATATATAAAGCAATAACTCGTGCCAATTTCTCGAACTCTTCGACTAATAGAGTACTTTAATAACATAAAAACAGACTTGACTTGTATAGGAGAAGAAAAAAACGATAATTCATGCTTAATTTTGTGTAAATTTTTTTTAGAATTTATTTTCATTAAAATTCAATCCGCATTGATCAAAGCCGCAATTATAATAGAATTAAACTGGCCAATATGATTATCGAAATTACCGGTAAATTTTGTTAACAAATACCGGTAATTTCAGTAATTTAAATATTGAAGAAAAACCAAATAACATATCCACCTTTTCATAGAAAAAAAAACTAGTATCGAGTCAGGATTTCTCTTCTAATTTTAGATTTCCTAATTGTAGTATTGTGCTACAATGTAATTTGGTTTATCGAACAAATAATTATAAAATGAAAATGTTAATAAAGTATTTATAATTACCTGTAACCCATATTTTATTTGAAATAAAATGAAATTAAGGATTGCAATTAGAGGATAAGACAAATGAAATAACTTTTCATAATATTCACACTTTATTAAACAAAAAATATATAAGAGCAAATAAAAGAAACAGTAATAATTTAAATGATGATAAAAAACATCTTATCTCATTACATTACTTGTATTTATATATTTATTTTTTGTCACAAAAATTTCTTGCGTAGGAAAGAACATTATACGTGTAGTGTTTTGTGAGGTGCAAAGAAATGTGTTAATGAATTGAAAACCATTCTCAATTACAAATACATATTTATTGCCTTATTTAGTACAATTGTTTTTTTCCTTTTTTTTTATTTAGACTAGGAATAAAGACATAATATTAACAAACATAAATAGCTGAACAATATTTAATAGTGTGTGATATTTATGTGTATCATAATATTATCTTTTGTTCTTTGTGTGGGATGGTTGGGAAGATGGTGTGAAAGCACTGTCGTACGTGCAGAGATTTCTTGACATCATTTCAATTACAAACAACATTGAGCAATAATCAGGATTCATAAACAAGGGGGACTAATTAATACGCACAAGTGATAACAACGATTGATTGAAATTGCCAAAGATATGTTGTGTCAATGATATGACTTTATTGCGTAAGATCCGCGGACCTCATTATTGTTCGTCCATACAATCCGCACGAACGACAGACCTTATTTTTAAGTTGTGCCTGTGGGGAGGTAAACTAAAACAATCAACTACCCTCTAGAACAATGTAACCATAAGTTTTTTTTTTCTTCTTCAACATCATTTCTTTACATGTCGTGTTGTGTTCCATAAGCATAAAGCCACTATATATATACTCAGTTTAATATAGCGTACATAAGGGGAATATAGTATACATATATTAATTTAGTAATTAAAATTGATAAAATTATTTTAGAAAACTTATTATCCACTTATGTATGTATACATATAATCATCTCGTAATTATCATTTCACTTAGACATCTATTTAACATATCTAGAGATAAAGTAATCAAAGAAAAAAAATAAGATTGACACACTCGAAAAAAAAAACAAACAAACATTGTTTCATTAATAATAAACAGATTCCGAGTTTACCCTGAAGAAATTGTTGCCAACAATACCATAAGTTTTACAATATATTACCCTTTGTTGTCAAAGGTCTTTTTTCATTTATTAATTGATTAGTATTTAAATCACATTTGCGTGTATTTTTTTTTAAATTCATAAACTTGGCAACAAACACGTTTCATTTCTTTGTTCTTTAATTAATATTACATTATTAAACATTTATAATTGATTTTTTTTAATTCACTTGTTCTAAGATTCAAACACAAACGTCTCCATCTTCGCATCATATTTAGTTCTTCTTTGTTATTTTTGTTTTGTTAAATATTTATACATAACTTCTACCTAACCTTAATACTCTTAAAATTTATTTCTTAATAAAAATGACCCTGTTTTATTTAAAGGCTATTAATATATATATGATATAATATAATAAATCTCACATTAGCTGATTGTGTATGTAAGTGTTTGTGTCTGTAGTTGGATTCAGGAAAGTATGGAGGATGCTGGATGATTTTGGGATTCTCTGGATCGCAGGATGATTGTTCTTGTGTGGGGGTTGGTTTTATATGTGTGTGGTTGTGTAATTCAGGGCGTGACTTAATCATTAAACGAAATAACGAGAAAACAAGATGAAAGTTAAATAAACGAAATAATAATGTATTTTCAGTCACAGCATTTTCTTTGTTTCATACATAACAATAAACGGAAACAAACAAACAAAATAATAAATAATAACAAAAAGAAAATTACAATAATAAAAATGAATCGACGCAACACCAGCTACTTAGTTAAAAGAGACGCAAGCCTAAACAACCTGAAGTTGATCGATTGCCTGCCTTCTTCTCGCACAACACGACAACTATTATATATCGAGAGTGTTAAGCCGACTTAAGGCCGCAGCTAACTCACTATAATATTGCAACTAACTTTCGACGGAAGCATGCTTTCGCGTTGCATCCGCCTTCTTCTTGCACTGTCCCCAATATGTAACGAGCACCAATTGCTTATCCGGCTCGTGCGTTTTCTTCGCCGCTCTCTCTCTCTCTATCCGTCTCAATTGTCAAAGCTTACTCGCTAAATTCAACACCTAAGTCAAATAAATAATTGGATTATCAATCAATAAACGAAATAATCAATACTGCGCGCCTCAACAACATTTCAACAACGCGCGCCTTCTCTTCTTCTCCGCATCATCATTATAATAATTAATTATTATTTGCTTACAATCAGAATTTTGTACATTGTTTTTTTTCTAAGTCTAGAAAAATTCTTGATCCAATCACGTTTTCCATATTTTTTTTTGGCACATTATTATTATTGGTTACTCGAATCCAAAATTAAAAAAAAAAAAGAAAAAACACGCTTCACCTATATTCTTCTTCTCTTATCTCTCTCTCAGAACACTCAGTATATATATATTTTTATATAATAATTATTATAACACAAAGGGATAACAATAGATTGTCCCCATTTATAGTCAAATGTTTATAAGATTATTTTCTCCACCGAGTCTCCCAATTATGAAAAATAGATCGATAAAAAAAATGTACATAAAATCAGAAAACAATAGTGATTCATCAGTAATTACATATTCTACAATAATAATATCTATCCATCTTATAATAGTTATATCAATTTTTTTTGTTTGTTCTTCCCTTGTTCTTTATATATATATAGTTAATATTATATACGAAAGAAACATTTAAAAAACTTTTTATTTTTGTATATAATTATAACAAGACTAGTTAGCTTATTAAAAAAAAATTATATATCATTTTTTTTGTCCTCAATACGTGTACTTATTGTTTCTCCTCTTATTTCCATTTTTAAGAACTATTATTCACTAAGTAACAAGCCATCGCAAAACTTAGGAGTACCGTTTTGTTGTTTTAGTCATAGTCAGAAATCCCAAGAGAGCCTCTTCCTCCTTTTGAAACCCATACGCATGCTTCAATTATTCCTAATTTTCCGATACACCTTTTACAAATACTAATTATGATTGAATTATTGCACTTTCTTTGGTCATTTTTAACATTGAGAATGTTGATTTTGTTTTCCCTTTTCACCATTGACACGCTGTGAGCAAATCGAATCGACTTTTTAATCACTTTTCACTTTGCCATAGATATACTGAGCAAACTCTAAAGTGGTGATATGTTTTTTTTTATTAAGATTCCGACGTTTGTCATAATATTAGTTCTACTCTCGAGCAATAATCATTTCGAAAATATTTTCTACAAATATAAAACAATCGAATCAAATCAATATAGAACAATAATTTTGATAAAACATTATATGATGAGCTTTTCTTTAGTTAAGTAATACTTTATAATTAAACACTACTTGCATTCAGTTTTACAATGATATCCAGTAAATTTATTTACACATTAATTAAAATTATTTCATTTTAATGAAATTATAATAATAAATAATTCATAGGTATTCAAGATATCACATTTACTTTAAAGTTTTATTCAATTTCAAATTACTAAAATTCATTTAATAGCTCAAATCTTACTAGAATGATACAATTTGACACAATCTTTGCAATACATATCACTCTTTTTGTACTAATTTAATTATTTATTAGCGGCGTAAATAAATATTGTTGTAATTTAACATATTTGGCACAAGTAAAATATTCATATTGTTTTATCAAAATATGTTCTTTTTTCTTTAATGGAAGCAGGAAATGTAAAAATTGTATTCGCTTAAAAATAATAGAAGCAGGCTATATATATATTGTTTTTTTTTATATATATATATGGTTCTTTGCGAAATCTTCTCTTAGAGATGTTAACAAATCGAAAGAATGTTTGTACGATTTCAATTTTTTTTCTCGCCTTCTCAAATTCTATTCTATTGAATAATAATTAAACGTAGACTAGAATTAAAGCGAAATAAATTAAGCCCTATTACAAAATACTCTTAATGATATCCGTACATTTTTGTATTTCTTTTTTTTAAAGTTTTTTTATAAATATTCAAATATTTTTCTTATTAAATTTAAAGTCTCAACGACAGTGCACTAAGTTATAACATTGTTACTTTTGTTTGTCTCCTCTCGTTTCTTCAAATTTTCTTTAATTCAATTCATCTCTTAGATATTTTACAATATATTCTCGTGATCACAGTTAGCTACAACTAACCACATATATCATAATTACTTTCTTTATTTACTCATTAATTATTATTAATATAACTCGTTACGTCGAGTACGCTTAATTAAATTGCAAAATACTGATTTCGAAATTCTCAAAAATTCAAAGATCACTTTAAAGATGATTATTTCATTATTATTATTATTACGTGCACTACACATAAGAGTTTTGGAGTGAAAGATGGGCTGGTAATGAGCAAAAAGTAGGAAGATAACAACAATTTTGGCACAGTTTTTTTTTCTTTCGGAAGGAAGAAATCATGTTAAACGAAAATGGTAAACAATAAAAAACAATAACAAAAAAAAAACAAGTAAAAAATAAATTAATAACTTCCTAGATTTTATACACATATATCGATATGCACAGCCTAACATTAATAATAAAAATATAATAAAATTTATCTCTTTCTTTCACTATACTTTTAACTATTTATATTATCATCATCATAAATTCTTCTCTTCCACGGATAAATTAAATTTCTCCCATATCACTCCCGGATTCCTCAAAAATGTATTCTCAAATTTACTTTCTTCAATTAATATTATTTTAAATATATGAATTATTGCACTACGACTACTTAATAAATAAATAAATTAAATAATTACAAATAAACGAAACAAAATGATTAAAAAAAATCATCCAAGCCGTCAGCGTGCATTCCTCTCTTGGAAATAAGAAATAATTTGGTCCATTAATTACGTTACTTGATTTTCTTGAGAAATAACAAAAATAACGATTAAAAGGAACAACACAAATCTATGCGATTCCAAGTGAATCCCAGCAAAAAAATAAAGCTTAAACTTGTCTATATGTGAATGATGGCGCGGATGGCTTGGAGATATGTTATTGTAAACAAAACGAACATAAAACAAAAGTTCAAAACAAAAAGAAAGATCTTTTTTTTTGGTTTGTTTTCACCTTCGCGCTCTTTCTCTCTCTCTTTCTCCCTCTTTTTTCTATCTAAATATATATCATATATGTATATATAAATATGTATATATAAAAAATTAAAAATAACAAATCTTTGGCTTGTTCCCCATTACCAATCTTACTTTGTAATGTTTTTTTTGTTTGTTTCTTTTGTATCCTTTTCAATCGCGTTTGACACCTGTATTGTCAACATTTACAACACCGAAAAACGAAAAAAATAATAATAATAAATATACATTATCTTCAACAAATTCTTCAAGTGTTTTTTCTTTCTTTTTGTATGTATATAATATGTGGTATTACGTGCTTGCTCTATACTTAGTTCTCGCCGTCCCTCTCTTTTGTTACTTTTGGATTATCTGTAATACCAGACGTGTGGGGGATGATGATCGGTGATGGCAGCGGCTGGCAATTGGCACTCGGGATGGAGGTGCCATTGCCAGCTCAGTTAATGTATGGGCGCCTTCACAATGTGATTTGGCGCAATGTAATGGTAGCCTGGCATCGGTAGTCCTGCCGTCTCCATGGATATCCTAAACAGAACAACAGAGTTCACATTAGTTAGTCCCATGTCCCTCGGGATAACCCGAGGCTGCGGTCATGCATAGAAAACAAAAAAATAAAATACTGTTTTCTTTTCATTATATACAAGTCAAGAAATATAAAACCGAACTCCAAATTGGTTACATAAATTATCCGTAAAGTCATGTCTTCCAGTTCAAGAGATAGAGAACGGGACCAAGAATGCAATATAAATGGTCATTTTTAAACAAGTTTTCTTTAAAAGATTAATATAAACCTGCATACTAAGAGAATCAAAATTAACTTAGTTACCTCATAACTATGAAACGAATGAAATCAAATATGCCTTGAATTTGACAAANNATGTTGTTTAATTTAACGTCATTTGATCGTGTTGCGTTTTGGAGAAATCAGTTTCCGGAATTGTGGTAATTATAATTTATAATAAAAGTAACTGAATGTATTAAAACGTTTGATTTCAGATAATTCTTCAATTTGACAAGCACTGAATTCCCTTATCATGAATAACGAGAAAGCATCGATTTCAACGACGCAAATGATAAGGTAAGTTTTAATCCACATATTTCATCTTAAACCGTCAATTATAATACATATTAACGAAAGATATAACAATAATATTTAGACTATAACATAATAGTTGATGAAATATTTAGAAACCTTGCATAAAAACACCCAGTTTAAAATGAAACGGTCTGCACTCGTTAAATATTCGATTATAAAAGAATGGTAGACATCCGATTCCTAATGATAATATACTGACAATAAAGAAATCATTTAAAAGTAAACAAAAAATATACATAAGAAAATAATAAGAGTAAATGATGAACGGATATATTTTTTGTTCTCATTTTTTTTTAATTTGCGGGGATAAATTAAATGGATATGGTTAAGCTTACCGGGAAGGTCTTCATCCGTGTTTGTATGGTGGTTGGTGGTGGTGTATTTTTTTTTGATGGATTTGGTGGTAGTTGATTTGTTTTTTATATAAGGCTTGGTCTGTTAGAGAGCAGGCTTAAGGGACATGGATCACACAACCATGTTATCAATCACACTAATACCAATAAATAAATAAATAAAATAATTGTTATCGTCAATGCACTCACGGCCAAAACTCGAATAAGATTTATTATTTGTTTGTTCAGAATTTGTACTGGCTGTTGTTCAATAAAAAAAATAGCTTATTCGAATTATGTTCATGTGACAATATATAAAACTAGAGGAGATGAAAGTTGTGCAATTGTTTATATATATATATATATGCATCATTTGGACAACTTTCTCGTTCCTTTCTTCACACACAACAGACGCGTGCACAAAAAACATAAATTATGTAAGAAACATTGGGAAGATTGGATGCAAAGCTCCGAATGTTTCCGCAAATCTAACTAAATTGACATAACAGATGATCCAATAAAAAAATGAATTATTTGATAACCTTGTACTAACAAATACTGGAAGATGTGCTTGCAACAAAATAAAAATAATAGGTAGAAGCAAGTAAACGGATCTGTAGGTGGTGTGAACATTGATATTATAATTAATATATAAAATAATTGATTAATCTAAATATTACGTAACTCTATTAATAAACTCAGTTTTCATATAGATTGGTTTCGGATTTATATCGCGTAAATGAAAAAAAATAAAATAAATAGATCACGTACAAATCGGTTTGCATTGCATTAAAATAACAATACGTTGAAATAGAAAAAAAATAAATAATAAAAGCTAAATAAATAAAATCATCTAGTACATATGTATTGATCCAATTTAATGTAAGTTTTCAAGTTTTTCTTTTACAATTTGAGCACACATTGTATATAAGTATATAAGTATTTTTATTACAAAAAGTTTGTGGTCAAATTTGGAAATACAAAGTAATTACAATTAATAACTAATCATCTTCGCCTACAACTCGTCTCCTCTTGTTCCATCGTCAGATATACTCAGTACTTCTTACTGTGTGTACGTGTATACACATAATAAATTTGTCACCGCAAATTGTTACTCGCTTTTAAGAAACATAAACTAAATGCGATCTCTAAATTATTCAATTAATATATATTCAGTTTACACAAACATCGAGACTTGCATGTACTTTGCTTACTTATATTTTTTTATTAATATAATATTATTTGTAATTTGTTTGCTGGCTGATATGTCAAATAAAGCCGCCATATTCATCGAATTTTACATTTCAACATTCTTCACGTGTTTCATTTATTATTTTTGTACAAAACTAATTCTATTTTTATTCTTTCACGTAATTTTTGTAATTAATTATTATCATTCTATTCATATCAAATATTTCAAAATTCTTATATTTATCGAATATTATGGCCCAATCAATTTTTGACGAAACGCAAAAAAAAATATAAATCAATATAAGAAAAACCAAATGATTATTCACAAATCAATAAAAAAAACCAATAAATTAAAATATTTTCCAAAACATACTATTAATAATAGATAACACGACGTGATATAAGTTGCAATATTAACTAGCTATAAAAAGCTGCTAGCTAAAATGCCGTTAATGTAATTTGTTTCATATATATATATATACATACATATATGAATATGTATACAAATATATTTCTAAAGAAAAGCTTGGATTATATATGTATAATATTGTATTTGTCTTAAAGAAAGTTAAATGATATATTTATATATTAAAAAAAAACAATCGATCAATTGAACAAGAATTAAAGAAACCTTATGAATTGATAAAACTTCGCCATCTACTAACATTCAGTTTTTTTTTCATACCATCTTCCTCCTAATTATATAAACTACGTTTTAAAATATATATAATAATGAAATTAATAATTAGACTTGGAAAAAGAAATAAGCAAGCAACACACACATGACGTTCGAGAATTCATTTGATATATGTATATAAAAAAAATATAGCCAGCTATTCGATTAAAAAAAATAATTGTAAAAAGTGTATGGTTATATAATATAACACGAGCGACGCGCAAATATAATTAATAAAAATGTACAAAATAAAAATATATATATATAAATCAATAAAGCCACAAAAAAAAATAAACCGATACAATACCAAAAATTAAGAAGACGCGATTGGTATTCTAAATATTATTCAAATATATGGATAATTAATAATAGTGCTCCATTATAAATGTGTGTGTTGGTTGTTACGTGGGTGCGCTTAACATTAAGAATATTACGCATAAACCAATAATTAGTTATTTGCTTTAGTTTTCATGATCTGCGTTTCGTTTCATTTTTGCTTTTTAAAAATCTGTGTTTTTCTTTGTCGCTCCTTTGCATATTTTTTCTTCTCTAATATCTAATTATAAGTTTCACCGATTTCGCTTGGTTGTTTATCTGAATTAATACGGATTGAACTTATTGCGTTCTGATTTTAATTTGGAACTCTCTGATGGTCCACTGGACGAATTCAACCTCGGCGTGTAACTGCTCTTGTGACTGCGATGCACTCCGGTCGTTTGTACGGGGGGAGAGCCGCCTTGGGCGCCCAAGAGCTCTGTTAGACCCCCCAGGGCGCTCAAACTGGTTAGGGCGTTGAGAGCGCCGGGTTTGGCCAACAGCTGGGCGAGGGGGATAGCACTGGCCAAGGGAGAGGCAGATGACTGGCTGGAAGTGCCAGTGTTCGGGGAGTTTTGGGCCTCAAGGTTAGCTTTCTGCAGCTCAACACTGGGGAAACACATAGAAGAAAGAAAGGATGATTTATGAAAGAGATAATATTGTTTCAAGGGAAATCATATTAACAATAATAATTAATACGTGTAATATTATAAACAAAAAGTAAAAAAAACAAATTTTAAAAGGATCAGCAATAAAATAATAAATTAAATAAATAACAAAACAAGTTAAATTGCCACCAATGTACAATAAATAAATTGTTGACAATTTAATTGCAAGAAATAAAAAAAAAAGGGAAATCATTTTTTGTTTTTTTATAGTTTGGATCAAGTGATGTGTTATTGAAATAATATAGGAAAAATAAATAATAAAATAAATTAATTTATATTGGATATCTTTTTTTGGAACGTATTTGAATATGCATAGTTTAGGAATAGTCAAGAACACATCAGATGATAGTTATATAAGGGGGCAGGTGTATCGAGGGGGGAGGAGTTTTGATTTCATTTTCTTGTTTTAGTATATCGTAGCAATATTGCCTGGATTATTATAATAAAACAATACTATTAATTAACGAACTGCTGTCGTCTTCCTTGTTGGGGTAACACTAAAATTACACCTGTAAAACCTACATGCATCCACCAAAAGCAGTACAGAAATTAAGAAAATAAATAATAATAACAATCATGTTATGGTAATAATAATAATTACAATTTCAGTTCACATTCATTCTTGCTCATTCACACACATTCTCAATCACACTACATGTTTTTTTTAATCCTTTTTTGTTGTATATATATATTGATGGTTAATAATATATATACACACACAAAGATTTCGAAAAGCATTAGAATAGGGAATTGATTGATTTTTTTAAGTTTTGCAAATTGGGGAACGCATATCAGGCGTTTTGATTATTTTTGATTTGGCGGAAGAACAAAGTTTCAGGATGAATGAATCTTATTTTGGATGTAGATTAACTAAGAAAGTCTATCAGTAAATGAAATATGGGATGTTCGTATAGTTAAATTATAAAATAAAAATATGCCAGACAATATTCTAGAAAAAAATAACACTACGATTGTGTTTTTTTCTACATTTTACGTAAAAGTAAAATAATTCGTTGTACAGAGGGGGGAGACCGATAATAAATATATTTTTGGCAGAACGGACTTACCTCATGTTGATGAGATATTGAGCGAGAGCGACGGCATCGGGATTTCCAGAAATCGTGATGGTGCGCTCTGTGACACCGCTTTCCCTGTCATCGCAATTCGAGATCCGGATCATTGCTCCAGAGATCTGGCGAATCTCGGCAATCTTGGTACCGCCTTTGCCGATCACGCATCCAATCAGCTCATTGGGCACTGTCATCTCATGAGTTTGCTGATTTGAGTTTTGCTGGTTCCTCGAGTTTGATGTCCTCAGTTGAGATCCTGCCAATGCAGCTAGTGCTAAAGCATTCGAGTAAATGAAATTGGTTAGTGCGAGGATTGACAATCAGCGAACAATTGTTGCTAAAGCAATCTATTTACCTGCAGGGTTTAATCCACCAGTGTTGGCCGGCGTGAGACCTCCCAGTCCCAACGCGGCCAAGCCTGCCAATGGACTCTTACCAAGAGCGCCCATCTGCAACAAATGGCCATCATCCATCTAAACATTCCCAATGAATTAAGAGTAGAAGACGTGCACAAAAAAAAATCAATAATTATACATCGATACAACATTAAAAAAATAGAAAAAAATCATTAGCAAGTAATATTATTTCTTAGACATTCTCAAATCTAGAGTCAAGTAGCGTGCCGAGCAAATAACTTAAATATTTCATTTTATAATTGATAAGCTAAAGGCTGTAGTTCCAGACATAAGCATAATTTGCAATTGGATTTATATTATAGTTCATCATAGCGCTATTAATAACAATTTAGTAAACTTATATAATTTTATCGGCAAAAATCAAATTGTTTTATGTTTAAATTAAAAACTTTAATTTATAGCTCTTCCGTATTATTGATATATCATTTGTTTTACGAATTTGACATGTTTAGATAATATATTTAGTAGTAGTAATTATACATAAATAAGGACTCTTTAAAGATTAAATCAGAACAAATAATGTTATGAATAATTATTAAAAGTTAATTATCCGTATTTAATATATCTATAATTGTACTTTATGAATACAAAAAACAAATTAGTTGCATTTGTAACACTGACGTATTATTTCTAATATTGTTTAGAAGGAAAATCACTAATATATAGAAGAAATATTTGAAATATGCATTTAAAACTTTGAATTTCTGAATCAAAATGGACGATGTCTCTTGGCAACAATCAAATTAAAAGCAAGACGATGATTTCAATTAGCAACCATATATAACAGCAATAATCGTTCGTTCGAGACAAATTAGCGTTGCCTATAGAAACTCTGTTCACAGGTTTTCTTCCATCTAATAATATGTGTCATTGCATAATGAACCATCTAAATCCAATTGTAAAATAGCGAAACCATAAAATTAATCGTAAGGTGCCCCCTTTTAAACGAATCATTCAATTCCGTCGTCCGTTTGTTTCTTTCATTTCTGTTCTCAACGTATTATATGAAAATAAATAGTTACATGAACAAATATGCGGTTCACAACGTACATAAATAAATCCATATTTATGTAAATCGAAAACACAAGTAATCAATATGTTGTAAAAGACGGAACACACTACCAGCGAATACTAATGTATAGTGTGGTATTTCGCTAAAACGAGTTTGAATTGCGCGTTTCGCGATAAATGAAAATGCAGCCTTCGCCGACTACCGATTAAATTACATTGAAATTCGCGTTTAAATATTAAACTGTGATAAATGTTATCCGATTGTGCAATATAGTATATTTACTGAATTTTCTTTCCTTGACATAAAACTGCTTTGAAAATCAATGTAGAAATAAGATTTGGCTGCCCTTCGCGTACTATTATTTATGTTTAAAACACACATATACAAGACTTTCATGAGTGAGTAGTTTTCCTACCTTCTTATGAATTACTATAATTCTAAAATTAAAAATAGATAGAATATTGCAATAATTAGCTTTATGTTTAGTCACAAATATGAATGTTCAATTAAAATAAATGAGGCATATCAGTTAAACGTAATAACTACTATTGCTGGCAGTAAACCTTTACTGGCAGATAATTTTGTCTTAAATTCGTTTGCTTCATTATGCATTAATCTGTGCATAATATTTCAGTCATAAAAGTCTTGTAAAATAAACGCACGTCACAACGTCAAGATAGACATATATTCCATGCAAAAAATAACAACACTGATTGGATATTAGTAAATAATGACTGCGGAAAGAAAATAATAACAAAAATAATCAAAGCAGGCAACGGAACGAAATAAAAATTTCTAAGTGAACTAGGATCGTTGTCGATATTAAATCTTTTAATATAATTTTTTTTGTAAAGGGGGTTGAGGGGGGTCACCATTACGATCAACTTACATCTGGCATGAGGTGCGCGGGCGGAAGGGCGGCCTGCAAGTGTCCGTTCTTGAGGGGCTCGAGAGGCATGAGCGGTGCTACAGCACCAGCCAACGGATGGCCGAGAGGTAAGGGAGGAAAAGTATTACTTACGTCTGTATGGGCAGGGACGGCGTAGTTGCCTTGGATGGTATAAGCCTGACCACCGGCAAGGATCACAGGGCCACCGACTTGGGGTTTGGGGCGATAGGGGATGGTTGCTCCTTTGGGAGGGGACTGCAATAAGATTCAACAAAAAGTTAGCTACTGGACTTGGAGATGAACAATCCTTATCATAATTACCTCGAGCATCACATTGCAGATGTGGTAGATGCATTGTGTGATGGCCTCTCCCGTGCCTGAAATAGTGACCGCCCTCTCCGTCGAGTTAGGCAACATGTCTGAAGCGACCTGGATAGATACACCTGTGACCTCTCGGATCTCCTTAATTTTGGAACCTCCTTTGCCGATCAAAGACCCACATTGGCTGGCTGGTACAATCAATCGCAATGTGATAGGCGGTTTTGGTACACCGCTTCCTCCACTATTCAAATCCTGAAACTGGGAACACCACTGAGGGTTCCACCATAATGAAATATATTAACAATGGTCACAAAATATACGAAATGATTCAGTAGGAACCATTGATAAACAAAAGCACAACAAATATTACCTCTTCAAATTTTTTACAGATTAAAGTGAATGCTTTGAATATAGAGTTTGTTGATCCAGTGACTGTGACAATCCTTTCTGGGCATGATCCATCAGATATGTTGATTTTAGCACCAGACTAAAAAAAAGGTTACGTAAATATAAAACTATTTAAGAGAAAAAACAAACAGAAATACCTCTTCTCTAAATCTTTTCACAATTTCCCCTTTCTTCCCAATAATGCTTCCAACTTCCTAAAAATAACAGAACAAATGTAATTAGCACCAAGAATACTCCACAGATTTATTTTAGTTCACAGTCAAAGAATGGAGCAGATGTATTTTTAATCCAGAATTCGCAACAAGGCAAATGACAATAAAGAGTGTTTAAAGTATTCTAAAATCAGACACATTCATTCTCAGATTGCAGAGCTGGTGCCATTTATTGGCAGACTACAAAGTGCATAATTGACCTGACCTCTATACTTTTAGTTTTAGGACACACTTCAGCTCGATTACTAATTATAAACTGAAATTAGTTGGCACTTGCTTCATTTTACTTCTTCTTTTTTTTTATTTTCTTTGTAATTAATTCCTGTCTGTTTGTCATGTAGAAAACTCCAACTGCAATTGTATGGCTTCAATAAGCTAAATGTAATCCAATTCACTTTAGTTTTTTTCACATGCATATAGCTGAAACTGTATTTTCAAATACACAAACCATGTAATGTGTGTGTCTATAAATAAAAATATTGGTCAACTAGGAAGCAATGCTAAAGATCATATAATTAGAATTTAACTACTAATTTTAAACACGATCACACACTCTTTCTTTGACATGTACACACACTTGCACACATATTTACCTTTCCTTGCATAATAAGTCTGATCGTGAGTGTGACATTTGGGTCATCGTTTTGTGATTTGTCCAATTCCATGTTTAGTCGTGTATGTGTTGGTTTGGGGTAGAGGGAAGGGCTCTGAAACAGAAACAAATGAAGAAAAAAAATGAGAAACAATAAAAGAATAACGCCAAGTCACTTACTGAAGTATTAAAATATGAAATGGAGTAAAACAAAAGTGTAATGATTAAAAATAATTGTAAGTGCAATAGACAATAAATGAGTAAACAAAAATGTCTACTTCGTGAGCGGGGTGATTATAGCATTGCGTTCTGGTTATGTTGTTGTCAATCGTCTCTGAGCAATGGCAAAAGTTGTAAACTGCGCGCTTCTAACCTTTCCAAGATGTATAAATAAAGCTTAAACGTGCAACGCCACACAAGAAAAGTGCGCAGAGGATAAAAAGAGTAGCACAAAGGAAAAAAACGCGGGTCAATTCCCTCCCGTTGTCCGTTATCTTTATATTAGTTTGTATATATCAGTCTTCCTGTATGTGTTTCAATGCTATTTGGCTCACTACGATGATGCGAAAGAAACGCTTATTCCTCGAACACTAAAGAAAACGACCAGACGACCGGAACCACACACAAACGCAAAACTCGTATTTCGACAACAATTCCCTTCGTTTTATCAATTTAAATATACTTACTTCTGAACCTTGTGGATAAAACTAAAATAAAATTATAATGACGCTACGCCGAGTAATGCCGTTGACCACGTGCTTGCTTCACAGGACAATGCTGCCAACCCAAACCAACCGAAGCCGGTACGCACGACGCTGGCTGTCCGCGCCACTCTCTTTACCATTACCGGCTTGCCGCCAAAACATAACTTTTGAAACTTCTTTTTAACTTTTAAGATGATCCATTATATTTTATTCCATAAATAATAAGCACTAAATAATCATTTTTATATTACTATTTAAATAGTAATACATTTTTAAGTAACAAAAAAATATGATCAAATAGTGAACTTTATGTTTGTATCCTATCCTATTTGTTTATATATAACAGTAGTGATAAAACAAACAGCAATTATTCTAGAATTCAAATTATTAATGTAGAAAATTTTTGCTTATTTTTGTTATTTGATTGTAATGACTTTTAATGGTTAAAATGGACTTATGCATGAACAATCAAACCTGTTTTTAGACCGTAGATTGATACTTGAAGAATCCGTGTAAAAACAAAGTAAAACTATATACCGATTATATGAAAAATCTTATTTAATTTTAATTTTAATAATATCATTTGTGTATGGTAACGATTTTATATTTAATTTAGTTCCAATAACAATAGAATTTCTTAATGGTTCTTACTGAAATTAGGTTTCCTACAGTTGTGAAAATCGATTGAAAACTTAAATAATAGTTTATATTTTTTATCCGACGATTTAAGAGTTAAATTTTTTTATTGAGAGGATTTTTTAAAGGAAATATTTAGCACAAGATTATGGGAATAATAAACCGTGTTATCAAACGTGTAAAAAGAGGTGTGAGTATATATCTATATTTAATTTAATAATGGATTTCCATCATGTCTTTAGAACGAGTTTATAATTTAATTTAATAATTGGATGTTGTAATTTGAATAGAGTGTGTCCGGAAATTGTGCAGTTTAACATGGAAAGTTTAAATTGGAAAATTGTATTTCAATATACGGGAAGAACTAAACCGAAAGCAACTTCAACCCCTCGGCATCAAGTTCAGATTAGTCGGCTAAACTTTATTTTGTTTGTGAAATATTTAGAGGTCATCAAAAATTCTATTAAGCGTTCTCCGAAGTACAACAATGAAACATATTTACCACTGGTCAAAAGGTTGAACTGCAGAACGTGCGGAGGCAATGGCTACAATGAAAACTGGGGGCGGTGGCTTCACGGCGACTGAATTACCATATCGAAGTTTAAATCCAATAGCGGAGGTAATTGCTAAATCTAATTATACACTTGACAAACATTGTTACATCTACGAACTAAGTGTAACTGACTGTTTGTTGATTTGTTTCAGTGAAAATACTTAAAACAATAAGAATGTTATCGATCGACTATTATGCAAAACGCAATAAAATCCTTTATTTTATTACTCATTGAAAACTGTATACGACTATGGTTTGCATACTAAAGCGATTATTATTTGAATTGTTCCAATTCGAAAGGTTTTATCAATATAATATTTGTATAGCCTATGATATATTTATAATATAATAAATAATAATAAACACTACTGAAAATACCTATAAATAATACAATCTTGAGTTTGAGTATGAAAATGTATAGTTGTCGAACATAATGCACTTAAAAATATTAAAAACAATCTCTTATCAATGTCCCATTATAAAGTGATTTAGAGAATTGCAGCCCAAAGTTTTCACGAAATCAAAACAGCAATAAAATTTGTAGCGAGAAAGAGTGAGACAGAGGGACTGCGTGGTTGGGGCGCAACAACCGGAAAAGATTTATGATCCAAACCTACCCGACCCACCTTCGTAATTGAATCCCGCCAAATAGATTCCAGTTTTTTTTTTATCTCTGTTCGTGTTTTACAAACGTACGCATACGTTCAAAATTATTTCTTGAGTAATTAAATTATTTGTATTCGGCTCAATAAATACTAAATAATATAGTCATGTAGAACAATTATGTAAATATAAAAATAATTTCAATTAATAACAACCATTGAATAGGGCTATTTACCTTAAACCTTTCCACCCCTAATATTTCAAAAATTAAGCATTAGTAAAGAATTACTTAGGATTTACAATTTCCAGTTTATCTTCCGCACGTTATATATGTTTCTTTTAATTTTAAATAGGTAGAGTAGTAAAGAAGTAAACAAACTAGTTAGGTTGCATCATTAGATTACGAATTAACATTAAAGGTAAACTTAAAAATATTATTCAGTCATTGATTTAGTTTGTTTATATTACAATAAAACTCAAAAGTGTTTTCTGGTAGTTTATAAAGGTATTAGATTCTATTTTAATACAAAATTTGATTTCAAGAAACCTCCATGAATTCGATGTATTTGTCCTTTTAAAATAAAGTAGCATTGAATATCATTAACTAAATAATTAATTATTTTATTAAAACCAAATTATACATTTTGATAAATTATTTTAAGTTGTGAATTTTTCTCTTTAAATTAGAAACTTCGTCTGTGTCGGTAAAAGCGACTGGATTTTCAAATCCTTTTATTGTGTGTGTGTACGTTTACGACCGAATCCTCATAAATCTGTTTAGTTAATGTTCAGTCCGGGGCGGCTTTTAAAGACCGGAATGCTGCCCGAATCCCGGTTTTCCGGTGAAATTATGAATTTTATAACACCCTCAATTTAAACTCCAAAATTAAATTAGACCTAATGTATTATTTTATTATATTACAAAAATTGCTCGTTTTAAAACATTTTGTTTTTATTTTAAAGGGTACAATAAATTTGGAGCTTATTATTTTATTTATATCCCCAGTAATCTCATGTAAAAAGATACAACCTACGGTGATTATTTTTTGCTCGATTAATTTATTTCTGTAATGTTAAAAACATTTATTATATTATCGTGATAAATTCTAAATAGAAATAATTTAAAAATATTTAGCTGAGAAAAAAACAGAATTCGATAGCAATTTTATAAAATTCGTAACGCGCATCAATGTCACGTCGTACTGCTCTTTTCTAGTGTATCAATCGTTACCCGTATTGCATTTTATATGATATGCATTATACAATAAAATAAAATGCTTCTATAAAAATCAAACAGCAAGTAAGATATAGTGTTATGACGCAAACAATCACGTAAGGTTAAATAAATCTTGTTACAGTGTATGAATGTAAAACAATATTAAAATTATATACAGCAATACCTCGCACTGTGCTGTTTCAAATAGTACGGATTTATTTTAATATATTAAAACGAACTAAACTTTATTTTTGTTTGTATTTAGTTCCTCTATTAGTCCGGTTTCAAACAGTCGGGGATATTAGCAAAACCCTTTATCCGCACTATGCGAAGTATTTGTCATTGCTAAAATTATTTGAAAGAAAATGTCCTTGCAATTCTGATGCTGTTTATATTATGGAATACGTTAACAATACTTTTAAATTATTCTTTGTGAAATGTGCTAAATCCTTTTTTCAATTAAATTAAATCTTCTATTATGTGGTATAAACAAAATGTAAACTGTAAAAGTTTAAAACAGCTACATTAAACTTTATACGACTTAATCCTAATGCATCCAAACGGAATAGGTAACATGCAGATTACGGCCAGTAAGCCCATAAAAGATGCACTTAGAACCCTCTCGCAGAAGATGAATACACTGTTTCATTAGTGCATTTATCGCTCTACTTTTTAATGGAGATAAGATTCATTGATTTCAATCTTCCAAAAAAAGGGAAAAGCTTTGGAACCGAATGCTTAATGATAGTATATACCGGAAGGAAAGGGGGAGGACTATGTTTGAGACACGGAAAGAGGGAAGAAGAAAAAAAGAAAATCATTTGTCGGCCTGAGAAAATCGTGCTGGTACGCTCATGGGAATCAGAATTCCGGATCATGCCTCATGAATACACGGAAAGCAGAGAATTGCCCAGATAAATTGCTTCTAATGAATTAATGGCAGCACTAAAAGATATATTTCTGAAGGGAAAAGAAAGTAGATAAAAAGGTAAAGAATAAAAAGGTCTTTCTGGAAAACGTTTTCATATTCTTATCGCAGATTTTTTTTCTGTGAATGCTATTTCAAAGGCGAATGCTCATTTCCAAACTATTTTATTTACTATAGACGCAGAAAATTAATTTAAAATAAATTAGTAAACACACCGGAGGCGGCAGCAGCAACGGCGGCGGTGGTGGAGGATTTATCGCTTTGTGCCCCAAAGGCGTATTCGGAAGGGACTTTGAAGTGAGATGCGAAGGGCGCAGGTGTTTCATTCCCCTTTTATGCAGAATACACAAGACTTTTCAAATTTATATGATATATTTCGGGCGACACGTCAATATGTCATTTAGCTTAATGTATTGCCTCTGCCTCCTTTCTCACCAGTAATTTGGGTATTAAAATAAAAACATTGATGTCGTTC